TGTGTGTGTGTGTGTGTGTGTGTGTGTGTGTGGAGGAGCGACTTCACAGAGAGTGACTGAAGAGTCGGGTGGCGATCTTTTTTCCTCTGGGCCGCGATCCAAACGGGTCAGAGAATGAGGCTAGTGTGTCACACTCCGAGGGAAGGCAAGGGTGTGTGCAGCCAGGGTCGCCTGGGTGTCCCAAGGGTGGGTGTGAGAGTTTGTGTCCGAAAATAGGGGGGTGTAAGTTTGCAGGTGGACATTTTTTTTTCCCACTGTGGTTAAACACCGTCAGCTTCAGAGCTGCTGCACATTCCTCGCTGATGTCCACAGTGTCGGTGACAAACAGAGAAGCTCTACCAGACTTTAGGGTTTAACTCACATCTCGTAAACACAACCTGAAGACAAGCGAGTGTTGATCACTACATGTAACGTGTAAATGCAACTGTGCATGGTTTAACTTTATCTGAGAAAAAGCCATTTGTTGCTAATTAGCCTCCCAGCTGTGTGTGTGTTTACTTTAACCACATTTTGTGAGGCAGTGAAAGCTACATGAGTTTATTAGGTCGCAAGTTTGAACTCCTGTCTCTACCCAGGAAGAACGCTTATTTTCTCCTCTTTTCTTCCTCTGAAACATCTGCATTATAATGTATGTCCCACAGGCCAGCGCAGCTCTTTGTTGGTCCAGTGATAAGTTGCTCAGCGGAAAACGCCTCCTGTCTCAAATCCCATCCTTCGCCTCTCTCCTTCTCTCCCACCTCTGCCCTCTCTCCTCTTCTTGTCCCAGCTCCTCTGCAGTTGTTTGGCGGCGGTGTGAAATCCTGAGTGACACTTTAAGGTCCTTAGCGTCAGTTGAGATCAGGCCTGCGTCTCTATCAGAAATGGAGACTGACCTTTGAGTGGACGCGGCGGAAGATGTGAGGCCGTAACTAACCAGACAGCGAGGAATTAGATGCCTCATTGTGCTGCTGTTGAACAAAGTTTGCATGTGAAACTAAAGAGATGAAGGTGTTTGATAGATTGGTTTGTGATAGAGAAAACTTTTAAGCATTAGAGTACTACAAAAGGCGGGATTCAAGATGAGACAGAGCGAGTGGGAAATGGAAAAGAGAAAAAGCAAGGCA